AGTGATGCTGTCTAGGCATAACAGAAAGGGTAGCCATGGGTACTCCAACCTGGTAACTGTTCATATTCACGTAATCACTATAAACCAGGCGTGTCCAACTCTGAGACACTTGTAATGCAACCCACTTGCCGTCCGGGCTGCTACACTCTAGCCCTCATAATTGTGTATGTATATCTCTGATTATGTGTATGTCTTTAGCAGATAGCTCCCTAATTTGGCATCCTTAAATATGGCAATCCCACATAAGGATAACAAATAAGGGAGTTATCTACTAAACCAGCGTTTCCCAAACCAGTCCTCAAGACCCACCAACAGTCCAGGTTTTGTTACTATCTCCATTGGAATAAAATAGGGAAATACATAAATCCTGGATTGTTGGTGGGACATGACGACTGGTTTGGTAAGCACTGTACTAAACAAATGAAATATATAAATAAACCCCTTAAGGACTGAACCACTTGTACAAGTTCTAGTCAAAACAAAACTGGCAACTTGTGCTATAAGTTTGTTCAACCATAATTTACCTCTTTCATACTAAAGGACCACTATAGTGCCAGGAAAACATACTCGTTTTCCTGGCACTATAATGCCCTGAGGGTGCCCCCACCCTCAGGGACCCCCTCCCGCCCGGCTCTGGAAAGGGGTTTAAACTTACCTTTTTCCAGCGCTGGGCGGAGAGCTCTCCTCCTTCTCTCCTCCTCCGTTCTGCCGTCGGCTGAAAGCGCGTAGCGGCAAGGCCTGCGCGCGCGATTGAGCGATGCATAGGAAAGCATTCATAATGCTTTCCTATGGACGCTGGCGTGCTCTCACTGTGAAAATCACAGTGAGAAGCACGCAAGCGCCTCTAGTGGCTGTCAATGAGACAGCCACTAGAGGATTGGGGGAAGGCTTAACCCATTAATAAACATAGCAGTTTCTCTGAAACTGCTATGTTTATTAAAAAATGGGTTAACCCTAGCTGGACCTGGCACCCAGACCACTTCATTAAGCTGAAGTGGTCTGGGTGTCTAGAGTGGTCCTTTAACTGTACTCCTATTAAATATCGTTTTGTTCAGGAGAAATATGGCTTTCATTTCACATCAAGTATTCATATATGAAACAATTTAATATGAATAAAATCTAACAAAAGTTACGAAATTAAGAAATGTTTTCATTTTTTTTATTTTTTATTCTGCATGGCATTTTAACTGTAAATGTCATAATACTGTTGGCTTTCACTGCAGTAAAACACACAAATTTGTATTCAGCAATGTCTCACAAGCACAGTACAACTTATGTACAGGCTTTGTGGGGTTTTGGAAAGTTACAAAGTGGGCCTGATTTCCCGAAGGGTGTTGCCTGGGCAGTCAGCCAGTCTCTCTGAAGCAGATCGCAGGATAGGCAAGTATTGCGGAGTCATCAGGATTCAGCTTAACAGCCCATGAAAATGCGGACAGCATATAACGCCGTAACAGCGTTAAAGCGACACTGTAGTCACCCAGACCCCTTCAGCTCAATGAAGTGGCCTGGGAGCAATGTCCCTCTGGTTTTAACCCTTCACATGTAAACATAGCATTTTCAGAGAAACTGCTACGTTCACATTTGGGGTTAATTCAGCCTCTAGTGGCAGTCTTCCTGACACCCTAGAGGCGCATCTGCGACGCTGGAGGCACATGTCGCCTCCATCGCGCAGAGCGTCCATAGGAAAGCATTGAGAAATGCTTTCCTATGGACACTTTGAATGCGCGCGCGGCCATGCACATTCGGCTCCAGTGACGTCGGGCAGGGGAGCTGATGTCAGACAGGGAGGAGAGGTCACCAGCGCCGAGGGAGCCTGGCACTGGATTAAGATAAGTAACTGAAGGGATTTTAACACCTTCAGCGCCACGGGAGGGGGACCCTGACACTATAGTGATCCTTTAAGAGTTTAAGGGGTTATTTTGGCCTGGGGAAGCCAAATGGTTATACACCTATGCTCTAAACCAGGGGTAGACCTCCTTTGCCACTCCAGATGTTGTGGACTACACCTCCCATGATGCTTTGCAAGCCTTAATGGAGATGTAGTAAAAAACAAAGGGAGTGTCGAAGGTTACCTGCACTAAACCAAAAATATATAATACAGTTCCTACCCCATAAATATAATATTTAATGCTCTCATCCAACCCCCTTCCCTCCACAGTTCCTAATAAATATATTACAAATAGAATTCCCTCACCCCTGTAGCCCCCTCTATTTACATTTCCTTCTACTCACACACACACACATATAAAAATATTCATTGGGCCACAAATATAAATGTCACAAATATAATCATTGCCTCATCTCAAATTCCCAAGTCAGATCTTTCCCGCCTTCCTCCAGCCCCTATCTAATACACTGCTGACCCCCTCCTCCCCTAATATACTGCTGACCCCCTCCTCCCCTAATTTACTGCTTACCCCCTCCTCCCCTAATACACAGTTGACCCCCCTCCCCTATTAAACAGCTGACCCCCCCCTCCCCTTATACATTACTGGCCCCCTTCCCCTCTCCTCCCCCAATCCATTACTGCCCCCTTTCCCTCCCCTCCCCAATACATTACTGCCCCCCCTCCCCTTCCCTTCCCTCCCCCAACACACAATACAATTGGTCCCCCAAGCCCCTTTATTCTTACCTTTTCAACAGCGCGACGGTGCAGGGAAGAGAGTCCGCCGGATGTGATGTCATGTCGTCATTTGCCCCTCACATCCGGCGGCTGACAGGAAGTATCTGTGTGCTCGCACAGCAAGCAGCGGCCGGCGCGGCTGCGGCCACACGGCCACATATGCTAACCGAAAAAAAATATTTTCATGTGTTGTGGCTGAGTGCAGCCACATATCAAAGCGGCCCCAGGGCTGGCAGCCTACCGGGAAATTTCCTGGTATGCCGGTAGGCCAATCCGGCCCTGCTGGACACCCACCTATCTCCCAGTCAATAGTGGGCACTGAGCCTTCCTCAGTGATATTCCCCCAGGATAGATCAGGCCACCGGGCACAGTCATAGCAGGCCAATCAATGGGGCACAGACAGAGCAGGCCAATCCTGGGTTGTGTATAAAATGAGTAATGGGGACCCTTGAGTTTGGGCAGAGTCCCCTTAATATCTGTAAATCCTCAGGGTATCCTGAGACATAGGACCCCTAGACGCAAACCCTTTTAGACAGCGTAATACTGTGTGAATAAACCCTAACCGGGACTGGCGGTCCCTAAATGCCCAGCATGCAAAATAGTGGTATTTTTGCTGTATTGGGTATAAGCTGCAGTTGTTCCAGTGATTATAGTGTCCATAAAATCAAGATATACTGAGCGATACCTTAAACTGTGAATGGGTACGCACATGCACGTACAACTCTGTTTGAGATTTCTTATCTTTACTATTAATCTCCTGATAGCATTGAATAGTAACAGCGTAGGCTGGTCTCCCATACCAGTTTGAGCCAGAGCCAGGTCTGCTTAGCTTTATATTTATGCCATGGAAAGTGAATTCATATCAGAGTAGTCTCATCTGAGACTCCATAGCTGGGCTAGAATATATCTACTGTGAAGCAACATAAGTCCTAGATCTAACTAGCAAAATGACTCCGCAGACACCCTGCACAGAGTTCATATATACCTGTAACTCACCGTAATCTGAGACATACAACGTCAATAAAGTCACAGAAATCTGATATGTATACTGCCATATAAAAACACACCGCAATATATGGTGTATATATACAGTTGTGAGTGATATGGATTTCTGAACAAATTAGTCATAAAATGTGATCTGATCATCATCTAAGTCACAACAATAGACAATCACAGTCTGCTTAAACTAATAACACACAAAGAATGAAATGTTGCCATGTTTTTATTGAACACACCATGTAAACATTCACAGTGCAGGTGGAAAAAGTATGTGAACCCTTGGATTTAATAACTGGTTGAACCTCCTTTGGCAGCAATAACTTCAACCAAACGTTTCCTGTAGTTGCAGATCAGAGGTGCACAACGGTCAGGAGTAATTCTTGACCATTCCTCTTTACAGAACTGTTTCAGTTCAGCAATATTCTTGGGATGTCTGGTGTGAATCGCTTTCTAGAGGTCATGCCACAGCATCTCAATCGGGTTGAGGTCAGGACTCTGACTGGGCCACTTCAGAAGGCGTATTTTCTTCTGTTTAAGTCATTCTGTTGTTATTTTACTTATATGTTTTGGGTCATTGTCCTGTTGCAACACCCATCTTCTGTTGAGCTTCAGCTGGTAGACAGATGGCCTTAAGTTCTCCTGCAAAATGTCTTGATAAACTTGGGAATTCATTTTTCCTTTGATGATAGCAATCCATCCAGGCCCTGACGCAGCAAAGCAGCCCCAAACCATGATGCCCCCACCACCATACTTCACAGTTGGGATGAGGTTTTTGATGTTGGTGTGCTGTGCCTTTTTTCACCACACATAGTGTTGTGTGTTTCTTCCAAACAACTCAACTTTGGTTTCATCTGTCCACAGAATATCCAGTCTGTGCTGTGCACTTGCAGTCATCTTTACAGGACGGCTACTCCTAGGGAGAGTAGAAGCAGTGCTGAACTTTCTCAATTTGTAGACAATTTGTCTTACCGTGGACTGATGAACAGCAAGGCTTTTGGAGATACTTTTATAACCCTTTCCAGCTTTATGCAAGTCAACAATTCTTAATCGTGGTCTTCTGAGAGCTCTTTTGTGCAAGGCATCATTCACATCAGGCAATGCTTCTTGTGAAAAGCAAACCCAGAACTGGTGTGTGTTTTTTATAGGACAGGGCAGCTGTAACCAACACCTCCAATCTCATCTCATTGATTGGACCTCCCCTCAGCCTGCCCGTCCTCCGGGGCTGCAGGCCGCGGGAAGGGAGGACAGGGCTCCTGACGCCCTGCTCTCAGTGTGCCTCATCAGCTAAGCGCCGCCAAGGCGGGAGGGCCCACGAACCGGTGGGCGCCAGGGGTCCACGGCCACATCAGTGGCCCACCAAACCAGTCTTAAAACATGGACCAAGGAGTCAAACGCTTGAAAGTCGGAGGGCTCGCAGTCGGACACCAGGGTGCGATGAAGGGGATGGCCGTGGCGGCCCCTGCCGAGGTGGGATCCCACCACCCTGTGCGGCAATGGTTGCACCACTGGCCCGTTTCGAAGGCCCCATCTGGGAGGTGGAGCATGAGCATGCAATAAGACCCGAAATATGGTGAACTATGCCTGGGCAGGGCAAAGGAAAGTATGGTGGAGGTCTGCAGCAGTCCTGACATGCAAATCTGTCATCTGACCTGGGTATAGTGGCGAAAAACTAATCGAACCGTCTAGTAGCTGGTTCCCTCCAAAGCTGGCTCTCGTCACGAACCCTTCACAGTTTTATCCAGTAAAGCGAATGATTGGAGGTCTGAAATGATCTCAACCTATTCTCAAACGTTTAATGGGTAAGAAGCTCGGCTCGCTGGCATTGAGCCGGCATGGAATGCGAGCACCTAGTAGGCCACTTTTAGTAAGTAGAACTGGTGCTGCGTGATGAACCGAATGCCGGGTTAAGGTGCCCAATGCCAACGTTCATCAGACCCCAGAAAAGGTTTTGGTTGATATATACAGCAGGACGGTGACCATGGAAGTTGGAACCCACTAAGGAGTGTGCAACAACTCACCTGCCGAATAAACTAGCCCTGAAAATGGATGGCGCCGGAGCATCTGGCCCGTCACTGGCACTGAGAGACCATGGTGACTAGGCTGCAATGAGTAGGAGGGCCACCGTGGTGGGGGTGGAAGCCTGGGTGGAGCCGCCGCAGGAGCGGATCTTGGTGGTAATAGCAAATATTCAAACAAGAACTTTAAAGGCCGAAGTGGAGAAGGGTTCCATGTGAACAGCAGTTGAACATGGGTCAGTCGGTCCTAAGAGATGAGTGACGTTAGGAAGGGATGAGCGATGTCCTTCGTCGACCTCGGCCGATCGAAAGGGAGTCTGATTCAGATCCCAGAGCGGTGGAGATGGGCATTCAGTGCAGCAACGCAACAGATTCCAGAGAAAGTGTTGCTGTTCCAGTGGTGTCCGGTGAGCTCTCGCCGGCCCTTGTAAATCTGGGGGAAAGGGTGTAAATCTCGCCATACCCATATCCGCAGCAGGTCTCCAAGGTGAACAGCCTCTGGCGTGTTAGAACAACGTAGGTAAGGGAAGTCAGCAAGTCAGATCCGTAACTTCAGTTTAAGGATTGGCTTTAAGGGCTGGGTCGGTCAGGGTGGGGCGTGAAGCGGGGCATGTGCCACCCCTGCCCTCCCTGGGTAGGCAGGGCGAGGGGCTAGTGAGGGGGTTTCGGCAGACCGGGGGATGGGGGCGGGGGCCGGGGCATTGCCTAGGCCGGCACCTAGCAGCTGACTTAGAACTGGTGCGGAATGGGGTAATCGGACTATTTAACCCCTTAAGGACCAAACTTCTGGAATAAAAGGGAAACATGACATGTCACACATGTCATGTGTCCTTAAGGGGTTAATTAAAACAAAGCATTGCGAAGGCCCGCGGCGGGTGTGATTTCTGCTCAGTGCTCTGAATGTCAAAGTAAATAATTTCAATAAAACGATGGGACTAACTATGACTCTCTTAAGGTAGCCAAATGCCTCGTCATCTATTTAGTGACACGCATGAATGGATGAATGAGATTCCCACGGTCCCTGCCTACTATCTAGCGAAACCATAGCCAATGGAATGGGCTTAGCAGAATCAGCAGGGAAAGAAGACCCTGTTAAGCTTCACTCTAGTCTGCAACTGTGAAGAGACATGAGAGGTGTAGGATAAGTGGGAGGCCCCCTGCTCCTTCGCGAGCCATGGGGGCATCTCCCGTGAAACACCACTACTCTTGTTGCTTTTTCATTTACCCAGTGAGGTGGAGGGGCTCTCGCTTCTGGCTCCTAGCACCTGGTGCGTGCTGGGCACAACCAGCTCCGAGAACAGTGGCAAGTGAGGAGTTTGACTGGGGCGGTACACCTGTCAAACCATAACGCAGGTGTCCTAAGTAGAGTTCAGGGAGGACAGAAACCTCCTGTGGAGCAGAAGGGCAAAAGCTTGATTGATCTTGATTTTCAATATGAATACAGACCATGAAAGCGGGGCCTCACGATCCTTCTGACTTTTGGGGTTTTAAACAGGAGGTGTCAGAAAAGTTACGACAGGGATAACTGGCTTGTGGCTGCCAAGCGTTCATAGCGATGTTGCTTTTTGACATCCTTCGATGTCGGCTCTTCCTATTATTGTGAAGCAAAATTCACCAAGTGTTGGATTGTTCACCCACTAATAGGGAACGTGAGCTGGGTTTAGACAGTCCTGAGACAGGTTAGTTTTAACTGTAGTTTCTGGGTCAAGGTTTTGTGAGTAGCAGAGCAGCTACCTCGCTGCAATCTATTGAGTCATCCTGTGAGCCAAGCTTTTGTCTCTCTCCAAACCAGCTCCTTATCCCCCCTTAGGGGAGAGGCAGCAGTGGTGGGGAGCAGGTTAGTGGTCCCCCCAATGGATCTGCCCTCCTCCTCCCCACCTGTTCTCACATGCTGGGGTAACTTGGCCCCTGGTGGCGGTTTTCTGGGGGCGGGGGTGAATCCGACCTCATCCCCTCACCCCCGCTGTGAAAGGCAGAGGGACAGAGGAGGGAGGTAGAGGGGCTCTTGAGGGACTTAAGCCCAGAGTGAGTGAGAACCTGATAATGCCCAACCAGCAGGCCAGGCTTTAAGGTCCATATCTGGCGGGGCTAGCAGGTGGAGGGACAACTTGGCGTGGCAGGCGGCTGCCAGGATTGAAGCTAATGGGGCTCATGAGCTAGGCTTCCCCACTTCCCTAGACCCGGGGACAGGGGGCTTAAGGACAGGGCAGAAGGGGGCAAGTGGTGGGGGAACTTAAGGCACAGGGCTGAATGGGATGGAGGAAGTGGGCAGACAGCGCAAGGGGGGCTTAAGCCTGCTCGTTCAGAGGCAGGGGAGGCTGGAGTAAAGCTCAATTCTCTCCACACTGCCCTCCTCCGTGGGCGCGGTTGCCAGAGTTTGCTGTTTCCAAGCTGGAAGACAGCAGAGTCCCCCGCACAGGCTCTCCCTCGCGGCGGGGACCAGTTCTCCCGGCTGCAGGCAGGGGGATGCTGAAAAGTCTTTATGTAAATCTAATTTATATTTTTTTTTAGTTATTTTTTTCTTTTTTTGGTGAGGTGGGGTTTGCTTGGTTTTTTTTTTTTGGTTTTGGTTGTTTTAGACTTTATTTATTCTTTATTTCTTTCCTCCCTCCAGGATTGTCAACAATGCAAAAGGCAGGTTTCCTGTGGCTGGATGACATCCTCATTGTTCCATCGGCCTCTGTGATGTCACCGTGTAAGCTTGTGCCCGGCTGGCTGGCTGCCTGTTGTAGCTGGGTGCAAAGGCATATTTGGTGTCCAGTCAGCCTCAGCGATTGTCACTGTGTGGGCCGGACTGCAGCATGTCCCCGCTTGAAGAGTTCTTCTGGCTGAAGTGTGAAGATTTGAAAAGGTGGGGGTGGGTTTTGTTTTCTGGTTATGGACCTTTGCTTTGGTTTTTGGGTGGAGGTGGAAATTTTTGGATTAAAACCACAGCTGACAATGAGTGTTCATGGACGGAGGGATGGACTCCATGGAGGGTGGTGGATTTCTTTTGGGTGGGTGGTGGGTTTATTGGAAAGGGAAATTGTATATGTGTGTGTGTGTGTATTCTGGCGGTGTGGAGTCTGAAAGGGACCAGGCTGCCTCACCAAGGGACCCTGCAGAGACAACAACAGGTGATGGAGGGAAGGCCAGAGATGGATGGAAGGAAGAGGCATGGAAAGAAGGAAGAGGCTCCTGGAAGATGAACATCTTGGAGGACAGGAGCCAAGGGCATATCAGAGAAAACCTTATTACATTTGGAGATGATCTGGGTGAAGAGGAGGAGGACTCAAGTGTAACAAAAAGCAGGAAAAAGAAAAGAAACCCAGCTACACGCCAGCCTGAGGCCCCTGTCCGGGGGTCTAGAGGATTGGAGGAGGAGGATGAGTACAACTCCTCAGAGTATTCTTACTCTGAGGAGGAATCCCCAGCTTTGCAGGCTCCTGGGGCCAGGAATACCAAACCCACAGGTGGCAACACCTGCCAGCCTCAGCAGTCTGCCCACCCTACCTCAGCTGAATTCTCTGGGCCCCCCACCACCCTCCATGGTGACAGGGAGACCATCCCTGCTGGTGTCATGGCGGACACCAGTTATCCTATTGAGGGGGCTTTCCTCTTCTTCCTTCCTATTCCCTCCCCTCTGACCTTCCTTCCATTGTGAGTGTTGTTGCTGCTGCAGGGTTCCTTGGTGAGGCTAGTTCCTCTGTTGCCTGTCCTCAGGTGGCTGCAGGCCAGCCTGCTATCTTGGTCCCAGTGGCAGGTCGTGGCTCTCCTTCAGGGGCTGCCGCAGGTACTGGCACTGGGCATCCTGTTGGGGGGCTAAACTGGCGCTGCCAGACCCTCCATGAAGGCTGCTGCATCCGTTGAGGCTGTGCAGCCCATTGGGGGAACCAGTGGTGCGTTGGGCCTTCCATGAAGGTTGCTCCAGTTGCTGGTCCTGTGCAGTGCATGGAGGGCACTCCCCCTCTGCAATAATGGCTCCAATGTTGGTTTCCCCTGAGCCAGAGTTGGTTTCCCCTAAGTCAGTTCCCTTATGTGTCCCCCTGTCTCATTCCCTGCATGCTGGTGCCGTGGGCGCGCGCGAGTGCACGTTGCGCAGGTGCCGGAGGTGCAGGTGACTCCCATCATCCTCAGCCAGCGGTACATCTCTGTGGGACTGCTAGTGAGGGTGAGTTGGTATGTATTGACTTGTCTGGCCCTGCTGGCAGTTCTGCACTGGCTGGGGGTAATGGGCTTGGGGAGACAGGTTGTTACTGAACCCACTGACCTGTGCAATGTATATCAAGAGTACGTCTAAAGCCAGAGTGCACCCCCTTCCCCTCAGTTGGTTATTACGGCCCCCCATGTTCCCTCTGTTCCTGCTCCGACTGGTTCTGTTGTCCCTATCCCCATGTTTCCTCAGTTGTCCCTGCCCCCTTTGGTCCCTCTGTCTCCGCCCATCCTGGTCCCTCCCCCTGTTATCCCTGGTTCCATTGGTCCCCCTGTTCAGTCTGGAAAGGCTATGGGCACCCTAACTAGTGGTGCCCAAATTGTAAATGTAAATACTGGTAATGTGTCACGTGTGTCCCCAGGTCCCTAGGCACCCCCCAGACGTCCCCTAGAGTGCCGTCACCAGGGTCTCCAGTAATGGTCCTGCCACTGGAGTAATCCCCCCCCCAGCGTCACAGCGGGTCTCAGCGCACCCAATGCTTTGGCATCTGGGCCACCTCGCCTTACCGTGGTCGGTCCCCCGTGCACCCTCAAGCTCCCTCTCCTGGGAGCAGGAGGAACGTGGTGCGGCTGACCTGGGACGGCGAGACTCTGGTGCCAGACAGAACGGTGCTGGTGGCCTGCTTGAAGGACATGGGTTTCTCCCCCTCTGACCTGTATGCCCTTATTCATGCTTCGGGAACCCGGGAGTTCGACGTCTCCTTTATGATGTTGTAGCTCCTGGATCGTTTCTGGGCTGGATGGGAGGTGGCCAGGTCTCAGCAGGGGTCAAGGTGGGTAGGATTCACCGCTATACCCATTTCTCGCCAGAGTATTAAGAAAGTTACATGCTTGGTGAGAAATGAGTCCATTTCCATATCAGATATCCTGGTATGGACCAGGAGATATGGGGACATGAAAGGTCCCCCAGTTAAGATCCTTTAAGAGGATGAGATTTGGACAGATGGGTGGACTGCCCCGGTGATGTTACGGGAGATACATGGTGTCATGCAGCACATACCCAATAGCTTTTTCATCGGGGCTGACTGGGTATTGTGTTTTTACCCTGGTCGGCCTCGAACGTGCCATCGGTGCGGATCGTACAGGCTTTATAGCAATGCATGTACGGTCCAGAAATGCACCATGTGCGGTGCTGTGGGGCACCTCCGGGACACCTGCACCGAAGCCCAGCACGGTGTCAGGTTTCTCTTCAACGCAAAGACCTTTCCTGTCAGGTGGTGTTGGCAGACATTCAGAGAATGGTTTGTGGGATCTATAACACCGAAAGTGCCTCTACGGATCCCACCATTTGGCAGTGTCTGTGGTGAAATTTCAAGGTGGTCCCGCCTTGAGTCTCTCCATGGGCGCCCTTGTCTTGGTGGAGGTTTTCTTTGTCTATCCTTTCCACTATCACCTTAAATTTTTTTAGATATTTTTGAGATTTTCATGGAAGGCTACCACATTTTCAAAATGAGTACTGATGTTCTGTAGGGAATTTAATTTGTGGTGTTGGGATGGTTGGCGGGTGGAGGGAGGGCATGTCCTCAAACTAAAGGACATCATCATGAACTATTGTTTACATTGAGGGTGGTGGGTTTTGGTGCAGGGTGCAAATGGACGGAGGGATGGACTCCTTGGCGTGATGGGTTTGTGGGTGGCGGGTTTTGTGCTGGTGTAAATGGACAGAGGGATGGTCTCTTTGGGGTGGTGGGTTTGTGGGTGGCGGGTTTTGTGCTGGTGTAAATGGACAGAGGGATGGTCTCTTTGGGGTGGTGGGTTGTGGGTGGCGGGTTTTGTGTGGGTGTAAATGGACAGAGAGATGGACTCCTTGGGGTGGTTGGTTTGTGGGTGGCGGGTTTTGTGCGGGTGTAAATGGACCGAGGAATGGACTATTTGGGGTGGTGGGTTTGTGTGGGGTGGCAAAGGACGGAGGGATGTACTCCATTGAAGTTTGTGGGTGGGAAATGAAGACTTCTTTTGGGTGGTGGGTTTTTGGTTATGTGTATACTTACGAACATTTATCAGTAAATAGGCATTTTTATGTATGGTGATGGACATTGTACAAATATTGAGAGATCTCGAATTGGTTTGAATTATGTGTTATTGGTTATTTGTTAGGAGTGCCTTGCTGTGGATGTCAGGTCGGTGGGTTCCCCCCTTTTGTGTTTGTTTTATGTTCCCCCACAGGGGTTAAAGGTATGAGCCTTCTTCCTTTATGTTTTATTACCCGCCTCCTTTTTATAAGTAGTTTTATTTATGTGCAGGTTTTGTTAAATGATAATTCTAATGATGCCAAGTTTATTATTTATGTATTCCCAAGGTGTGTGTTTTATGATTTATTTGTTTTGAGTTATGTGCAAATTCATTTTAATATTTGATGCTTTACTTTACAAATATTCCAGCTCCAATCCATAGGGGGCTGGAAAGTGGCAGGGTGTGGTGGCTGTGTGCAGTTACTCCTGCTACTACTGTGGAAGTTTGGGCGTCGTCAGGAATGGCCTCCACTTCCTGGACAGGCTCCAGGCCTAGCTGGAGTCCAGGCAGAGCTCAAGGAACAGAGGGAGAAGTCATACAGGGCCTCAAGCAACAAGCA